ATGATCGAAACCTCAACCCGGTGGGTTTTTCATACGAGGGACGAAAGAGAGAGAGAGAGAGAGAGAGAGAGAGAGGGAGAGAGGGGTAAATCTTTTTCACAGGCACCGATACTGCCTGCTATCCTCCCCCTCTCGGGCCCCGTTGTCTCGCGCTTTAATTTCCAGCCTCGACATTTGCGTAACCCAGTTTCGCCATTGTTCGATTCAATGGTAGATCGTAACGTCCGCCATCCGGATAGAAGATTATAATGCTCGCGTGTATATGGCACTGCGCATCGTTGCGCCTCGGCTGTGTGAGTGAGAACGCGGTTCCACGGTGTGCGTGCAACTCTCCGTGTCGCGTCGTGCCGAAAGTGCGCGCGCGAGCGCGAGCTCGTATTAGTATGCCGGGGCGATAAGCGAGCGCGACGAGAGTTCGCGCAACGAAATTTACGAATTCCGCCAACTTTCTCCTCTTGTTCTTATCTCCGCTCACTCCGCTGCTCCAACGCTCAACCTCGGGCCAACCTCGTCGTTGCACCAATTCCCACTGTGCATCGTGCATCTTTCTCCTTTTTCCTCCTCGAAACAACGAACGCATAACCACCAGCCTTACTTACGTCTTGCACGATTTCGTTTGCACACGAGACGACCGACACGCGGTTGTTGGTTCTCGTTGACTCGTAGCGAGTCTCTCAACGTATGCTCGTTCGATAATCGATGATTATTGCACGTTCTCTTTCGTCGTCGATTGATCGAAAAAACGATTGGTGTAAAAAAAAGAAAAAAAAAGGAAAGAAAAAGAAAAAGAAATAAAAAAGAAGAGATCGATCGATCGATCGATCTTTTTACGAATATATCGAATCGCGTATTTCGTATCGCGTCTCGCGTTACTTTCATCCGTCAAATAAGCGTTTGAGCAATATCGCCACATATACATTCGCGTCCAGCAAATGTCATTGTTAGAAGTTGTAGGTATGGAAATGTGTACGCGTTACGAAATATACCAGGTACTAGGTATTTGAAGTAGGAATAACGCTTCGCGTCTATTTTATATAATTTTCACGGTGTAGAAAGTAATAGCTTAAATATCGCGATGAACGATCGCGATGATTGTAGCAAATCGCACCACGTCACAGTAGGAAACGTTCATATCCATACTACTATTCATTGCTGAAAGGGTTAATAAATGACACGGTCACTTTTACGACGTGAGGATTAATTCGCCGGCGAGGTCGCTACGAGGTGTATACGACGTGTGAAAACCGTGAATAAGAGGAGAGAGAGAAAAAAAAAAAAAAGAAAAAGAAAAAGAAAAAGAAAAAAAAAGAAAAAAAAAAGAAACGTGTAAATACCGATATACTATAGATAAAAAACTAGTTTCCTTATCATTAACTTCACCGCCAACTTGGTAAAAAGCTTCGTAAACTTGATACGTGAAGATGATACGCGATACACAAAAGGGGGAGACGAGTTCGAAGCGAATAAGAACGCATCTTTTTTTCGACGTTTCTTTCTCACGAGAAGAGAGAATAGCAGGAGTGCTGAAAAGGAACGCTCCAATTTTCTCGATCGAGGAGAGATTTCGTATTCACCGCCGAAGCTTGCCGTGAAGGACGTGCTCCTATTTACCGACGCACCGCAAGATAGAACACGAATCCGACAGCGGTTACCGACGCGTCGAGAAGCGATCGAGGAGAGGGCAGCACCTACAAAGAGTAGGCGCGCGCGACTACGCGCCGTTCCTGCGAAGTAAAATCGGCGGGTTTGGATCGTTCACCACCCCCTCCACCCCGAGGAACAAGTGGGCCAGAGTTTCTGCATGCAGTGGCACGGGGCCTTGCCCCCACCTACCACGAATGGCACGAGACCCCGCCCGGCGAGTCTTCAAGGCCTAAATAGAAGAAGAAAGACGAACGTAAGCGTAAGCGTGGACGTAATGCAGCCGGTCGGCCAGCGATTGACCCTGAACTTCACGAGCCGTGCTTGCTAACGCCAGCAACAAACGGCGCAGACGCACCAGCGATCATTTCCTTATTCAGCGATTTTCTTCGTAAACCGAGAGACCACCGTATGCGTATGCGTACCAGTGCCAGTAATGCTACCATGTTTCTCGCCCAAGGACCGCTTTCCCCCTCCCCCTTCCCTCTCCTTTTCCCCAGAGAGAGATCTGTCTCTCGGTTCGCTTCTTCGCAGTTATATCTTATATCTCGTTCGATCTTTGGGTAGGAGAGCTTTGATACGAGCTGCGATATACGCGTATCGGCATTGAAGTTTTTACATTAAAGATCGATATCTCCAACGTAGATACGCCGAGTTTTATTTCGTTTTAAGTGAAAATAAACGGCGATCGTTGAAAACGTATCGAATAGCATCGAATAGCTCGGACTGGCCTTGATCTCGGAATATCGATTAACGAACGAACGAACGAAAGAAAGAAAGAAAGAAAGAAAGAAAGAAAGCAATGTGTACGTGATCCGCGGTCGCCTGAGAAAAAACACCGGGATTCACGCCCTCCTCGCGACTCTTACCCAAGGTCTTCCCTTTCCAATCCGATCGGATCACTCATCCAAGGCAAACTTACGTTGATGAATACCCGCTGACGAACTCCTATATCATTCCACTGTCACGTGAACGTTTAACCAACGAAATTATCTTCGATTATCGATCTATTATCTTAGACTCTCCTATTTTCTAAAATCCGTAGAAACAATTTAATACGATTTAAACAAAAATTTAATTTAATCTCTCAATCTCTTCGAAACACGAAATACACTCGATACAATTTATTTAACAAGCTAAGCTTGACGACGAAGCCTCGAGATACCCGATATCCCCATTCTTTGCGTTCTATAATTCGACAAGAAAAAAAAATTTAATTCTCGCTCAATCTCTCCGCTTCGAAACACGAAATACACTCGATACAATTTATTTAACGCTAAATTAAGTTTCGAGATATATCCCTATTCTTTGCGTTCTAGATTCGGCAAGAAGAAAAAAAAAAAAAAAAAAAAATAATTTCGTCCCCTCTGATCACTCGTGAATGTTAATCGTGAAACTCTTTGCGGCTGGGACACGTTTGACATTGCGGAACAACCGGCGTCGATGTTTACAGCATTGATTTCGTAATATTAATTACACTTTTGCCCGGCCGAGAGAGTATATAAAACGTGAAATCAAACTTTCTCTCCCGCGGCCTCCCTTGGGAAACGACGAAATCATCAAAATTGTTGCGCGATCAAATGTCAAATTCACTTCTAACATAATCGGGAGGGGGGAAGAAGAATAAAAAGAAAAAGAAAAATGAAAAAAATATGACGCGAATTGTCATACATTCGTCATTACGTCATCGCCATTACATCGAAATATAATTTACGACTACTCATTTTTCAACCATTATTTATTATTTTCTAATGTCATTCCGTTCGATTCACTCGTCCCCCCCTTCAACCCCCTCCTCCCAGAGACTCGATCGATCGATCGATCGATCGATCGATCCGAGAACAGACGCGATTCCATCTTACGTTTATCGATGCAACGATATCACGTCACCGAACTTTATAAAATTCCTTTCGAACATATAAAAACGATTCTCTAATCGTTCTAACGATTAATAATAACGTAACGTGTATTCCATTACCTTTCACCCTTCCTTCTTTAAGGAAGGGATCGAATCGGGAATAATTCGAACGAGCCTGAATAATCGTTTACATTATATCGTTTAAAAAAAAGCAAGAAAGCAAAAAAGCAAGAAAAGAGGAGAAGCGAGAAACGTCGGAGAAACGTGAGAAACGTAATCTCGCGACACGTCACCGCCTTCCGCCGTTTCCACAACGCGTATAGGCGGGGCGAGCAAGGATGAAATTAGTGTAACGAAGCCGGCCTCTCTATCTCTTTCTCTCTCTCTGTCGCGCGTGCGCGCGACGAGACGAGCGTTAATTTTATTGGGTTAAGGACGCGAACGAAACGCGTATATCTCGCTCGTTCTTTTCGCCTCGTTGCGAAAGAATTTCCACGGAAAACGTTTTCGTTTCTTCGCTTCATATTCCCTCTATATATACGATGCTTGTTCGAGGATAGGGGAGAGATGGAGAGAACGCATCGACTAATATAAATAATAATAATAATAATAATAATAATAATAATAAGAATCGACTCGCTGTTCCAGACGATGTATACTGACGGTCTCCTCACGCTCCACTATGGGAAGCATCCGGCGACCTTGGCCGCGGAGGTAGGAGCCTGGTACACCGGGGACCGTCACGTGGACGTGACGTTGGCATGCGACGATGGGTCGGTGGTGAAGGCCCATCGCGTTGTTTTGGCCGCAGCTAGTCCCCTTTTGGCTAGTCTCCTTCGCAACCCCGCCCTGGACCACGTGGTCCACTTGTCAGGGGTGCGAAAAACCCAGCTCACCCACCTCCTGGAATTCCTCTACAACGGAGAAGCCCTGATCCCGGTAAGCGTCCCTTCTCCCTCCCCCCTCTTTTTTTCTCCCGGATAAGTCCTCGAATAGGCTAAGTTTTTTCCGGGAGAAGCTTGGAATAAAAATGAAAAA